ACTGTTTAAAGATTAGATCGCCGGGGGATGATCTGCATCCCGGGTTTTCTGAAAAGAGCTAGTTTTATTCTGTTTTCTAGGAACAGGAAACATGAAAAACCTGATTCTAAATTGATCGCATTCCACACTGTGATTGGAAGGTAGTTCACTATTTCAGATAACTCAAGAGATGAGTCTTGACTTCATGTTTGGACAACAGTTGTTATAGCAAACAATTAAATAAATTGTTCTTTTGGTGTCTAGGTACAATGCTATATGTAATAAATTTCCTGTCAATTCTGCTTTTAAGCAACAGGTTTGGACATAGGTTAATAACAACTTGGTTAATAGTGGCCCTGTATGTATTTGTAGGGGAGGAAGACATTTCTTCTACCCGCTCTGGGTCCTTCTGGCTGAACAATGTATTAAATTCACATGAGACAGAATAACAGGAGAAAATTAAACAAAGCTTTATAACATGTATACATGGGAGAGGTTCATGCAAACTAAGCAACTCACCAAAATGGCTGAAGCCACCACCTTAAATATCATCTTCAGCTGAAGAAAAAGGAGGATGTTGGGGGTAGAACATCAGTTATGGGAGATCACCAGACAAGTACACTAAACAAGAGTAAGATTATTATGCAGATTTAAGTCCTTGCCTTCCGCATTGACTAAGAGTTTCTAGAGATAAGGTCATCCCCCTTATTCCTGGTACAGAGAGGGAGACACATTTACAGATGAAGATTTCCCTTACGAATGTAAATATCTCTTAACAAAGGGTAAGCAAATTCTACTTTTCAGAGTTTCTTTCCTATCTGCAGTTTTTAAAAGTAACCAGCCCAAAATAATCATCGTGCCAAAGAGACATATCTTGGGGTGGCCAATTCCAGTCCCCCACATATTAAAATAAAATATAATACTCAACTTTAAAATTATATAGAATTTATATTACATTCTTTATACATAAATCAGAAGAGATTTCCAAATCTTGCAAGCTTCTCTATTACCATTTTGATAACTACTTTTCATTGTGCCTGGTAAAACTAGTAATACTCATCATTAATAATTTAGAATTGATAGAATAATTAGATAATAAATTAAAATGCTAGTTAATAGAGTCTGATTGTGAACATGTTTACTTAGAGAGAGACAAAACTTCTGAATAATACCTAAGGTCACTTATTGTAAAAAGGACGTAGTGTTTTTTTTGGTGAGGAAGCTTGGCCTTGAGCTAATACCTGTTGCCAATCTTCCTCTTTCTGCTTGAGGAAGAGTGGTCCTGAGCTAACATCTGTGCCCATCTTCCTCTTTTGTGTGTGGCCGCCTCCACAGCATGGCTTAATGAGTGGTGTAGGTCCATGCCCGGGATGTGAACCTGCAAACCCAGGCTGGTGAAGTGGAGCATGCAAACTTAACCACTACACCACCAGGCCAGCCCCAATGTACTTTGTTTGTTTGTTTGTTTTTTAATACTAAGGTAGCTGTTTCTCTGGGGGAGTTTAACATATATTTTGCTTAGACTTGGAGTAATGAATAACAGTAACTCTCAGGGTTCCACTTTTAGTCTATGCTGCTCTTAAAATATGAAAAGCACATATAATCTAGTAAAAACTATCTTGTCTTCTCATAGTTTTTTTTCCAACCAATCATTTGATTTCTGTGTCTTCTCATTAAAGGACTTTTGCCTTCACCTGGGATTAAATATGTTATTAGTGCTATAAGACTCAGGTGATACTTAGGTGGAGAAGGTAGTCTATTTTAAACAAAAGAAAACACAGAGGAAAATTTGTATATGATTTCATTTTAGCCCAATCCTTGTTTAGATTAGCATGGAGATGCCTAAAGACAGTGGGTTATAGGTATAAAACAGAGAGCAAGCCATGGCATTTGCAGTTCTGCTACAATTTTGTGATTATTCATCTTAACCTGTTATAATTTGGTTTGTTATAAATATTCAAGGGAAGAGGATGAGAAATGACCACATAGTATTTTCTTGGCCTTATGTTTTTGAGGGTAACCCTACCTGGATACACAGAACTATACATACACCATCTCTTTCTCCCTCCCTTCCTTCCTTCTTCCCACAAATATTTATTAATGCCTACTATGTGTCTGGCCCTGGGTTTGATGTTTGAAATACTCTGTGAACAAAACAGTAAAAACTTCTTACCATCATAAAATTTATATTATGGTAGAATAAGGCAGACAGTAAACAAAAGATAATTAATAAATACATTTTTTCATGTTAAATAATATGAAAGTTAACAAGTGCTAAGGGAAAACAAATAGGGACAGTAGGATCAAGAGTAGAGTATCATGGAAAGCAATTGGAGGGTCTTGAGGCGAGGGGTTACATGATATAATTTATAACGTGAGGCATCACTCAGGGGTCTCAGTTGTCATGTGGAGAACAGAATGTAGAGGATCAGGGGTTGAAGTCAGGAGAGGAGGCAGGCTGTTGCACTAATCCAGCCAAGGGATGATATGGCAGAGACCATAGTAGTAGTAATGAGGTGTTAAGACAGTGGCCAGATTCTAAATATATTTTTGAGGAATTTTCTGATGATTTGAAAGTTAGGTGGGTGGAAAACAGAGGAAACAAAAACAACTGGAGACTTTTGAGATAGGCAATTGAGAGGATAAAGTTGCAATCAACCAGAGTAAAGAAGGTTTTGGGAAACACTTGGTTTGAGAAAATAAGGAATTCCATTTTGGACAGTCAACTTTGAGACGTCCATTAGACATCCAAGTGAAGAATCAAGAAGGCAATTGGATACAGAAGCCTATGAACATTAATTATGTAATTGTCAGCATGGAGGTGGTTATTTAAAGCCACTACACTGGACAGAATCACAGGGAAGGGAATATAGATAAAGAAGGCAAGGGAACAATGACTGCTCCATTAACAAATCAGAGGAAGGAAGAGAGGAACCGTTAAAAGCTGAGAACAAGTAACCATTTAAGTAGGAGACAATCCAAATAAATGAGATGTCCTGGGATTCAAAGGAAAACAGTGTTTACAGGAGGAGTGAGGGATTCAACGACTGAAAGGTAAAGTAAGAAGAGGATAGAAAATTGATAATTCTATCCAGCAATGAGTATGTTGTTGGTGACCTTGACAAGAGAAGTCTCTGGAGTAGTGGAGGCAAAAGCAGTCTGAAGTCTGAACTTAACTGTGTCTTCTGTGGCCGTAAGTCCTCAGTATCTTTAACATGTAAGAGCTGTAAATGGCCTTTTTTTGGTTAGCCTTCTGTAACTTCTCAAGCCTTGGTCCAGTAATGTGTACTTGTATATGCTTCTTTATCTTTTTTAATATAAATGTCAAGACCACCTAACATCAAATAGGCGAGAGTTCTGGCTTCCCTATTGTTTTGTCCAAGACATTGGGGATGTCAATTAACCTCTGGCATCTATGTTCTCTAGTCAACATCTGCCTTAAAGGGTTGTGAAAATTAAATCAACTACCCTTATAAAGTACTTGGCACATTGCCTGGCACATGGTAAGTGGTCAATTAGTGACAGCTATTATTGTCATTGTTATTACTATGCAACTACAAGGTTTTGGTGACTCCATTGAAGTTGGTTATTTAGCCACTTTGTGGTACCCAATAAAATAATCCTGGAAATCTCAAAACTTTTTATTCTTTGAAGAAAAGGTTGTGCACAGCCTTCTTGACCTTGCCTGGAAGTCTCTAGTACTCTGAATTCACCCACTTGAACCTGTTCTCTCTAAAAAGCCAGAGTTCCTGAGGCAAGCTAAGCTGTCCCTGTTGGATGAAAGTCTCTCAGATATCTTTTTTATTGCTTCACTTGTATGACCCCTTGGCCTTTATCTCCTTGGCCACTAGGTTGTTCTGGTCCTCACTTCTTTTACCTTTAGCTGCATATCTGTCCCAAGCAGGCTCCTCCAAAGAAGTCTGAGATGCCTTTGTCTGAAATTATCAACTAGCTCTCAAAGGTTAGGAAATTTTTTGAATCTCAAATGCCTGTATGAGAAAAATGGAATAGAGAGGTGGTGCAGATGTTCAAATAGTTTAATGGAAAATGTGGAGAAAGAAGGACAACGTATATAATAGCTAAGAACATGCACTTGGAGTCAAAATTGGATTCAAGTCCTGGCTCTTCAGTGATCTTGGACATTATGCTGGTAAAGCATCCCCTCTAAGAAAACCATCAGGAAAATCTTTTGATCAATAAAGCTTATTTTATTAAAGTTACAGCAAATAATATTATCTGGGTATTGTTAGAAGTGTTTCAAAAATGTGAAGTTAGGGAAGAGTTTTCAAAGGCTTCTCAGACCTCGTCTGGGAGATTTTAAGGTAAGTCTTGCAAGGCAGAAATATGGTTGAAAATGGGGCAGAGTCTGTGAAATACAGTTGGAGTGAGTGGGCACAGCAAGGTGAGGGCGTTGAAGCTGTCTTGATGAAGCGAGTGATTCGTCTTGGTCAATAAGCTGTTTTAGTTGGGTCACAGTCTTATATCCCGGGAGCAAGCATTTCTTGCAGCAAGCAGCTCAAGAATTACTGTTTGGTTCAGTGTTGTTGAACACAGGTTTAGGAAAATAATGTCTTGTCTGAGCATTATTTAATATAGGAAATTATGTTGGTTTCGGTTCTCAGTACTGATTTTGTTTAAGTGTTAATATCTTTATCTTTGAAATTCAAGTTGTAGGTATTAAATAAGATAAAACATGTAAAGCATTATGTCTGGGCCTCATGTCAAGTAAATACTCAACATACATTAGCTGATGTGATTTTTATAGGGCCTTATTGAAGAAAACATATGCAGTTTGATGCCAGCATGAGAGAACCCAGGTTCTGGTATCAGACTGCCTGATTTCAAATCCTGGAACATCACTTGCTAGCTTGTCTCCTGTAGTAGATTGCAAACTTTTTAAATCATCTCTCCATATCTCATTTTTTAGTATCGGATTGCCAATATTCAAACAGAAGTGACTGAAACCAAAATGTGTGTGCTTGTGTAACTCACACTGTTAACAAGCATTGCTTTATTTGCAGAATGACATGAATTACATAGCTTCCAGTGGACTTCTATTCAAAGATGGCAAAAAGCGGATTGATTACATCCTGGTTTATCGAAAGTCAAATATACAATATGACAAAAGAAACACATTTGAAAAGAACCTCAGAACAGAAGGCTTGATGTTGGAAAAGGAGGTAGGTGCTTTAATAATATTAGTTATATGATATAATATGCTGGAAGAAATATGATCTCTTATATTTTAGTATAGAAATTGTGTACCACATGGCTTTATAAAATGTACATTTTCTCCCAAATGTAAAAGAAATACATATGTATAGTCCCATTTAAATTATGTATTCTTTTTTTACTCTATATATTTCTATAAATTTAAATATTTTTCAAAGGGCATAACTATTTTTGCAATTTTAAAAATTGAATGAGGAATGCTTATACCTATGTAAAGTACAAAGCTCCATGAAAAGAAAAACTAAATGTTCAAAAAAAGAGTTAACCAAACTGTTAATTTCTGGGTTTTAAATGGAACTATAATTCATTTTGTTTCCAATCCTTTTTCTTTTATGCTTTTATTTTTTTAGACCAGTTTTAAGATCACAGCAAAACTGAGAGGAAGACACAGAGATTTCCCATTTAATCCCTGCCCTTACAAAAGAGAATGAGAAGACAATCCACAGACTGGGAGAAAATATTTGCAAAAGACACATGTGATAAAAGGCTGTTATCCAAAATATATAAAGAACTCTTAAAAATAAACAATAAGAAAACAAACAACCCAATTAAAAAACAGTCCAAAGATCTTAATAGACACCTCACCAAAGAAGATATACAGTTGGCAAATAAGCATATGAAAAGATCGTCCACATAATATGTCATCAGGAAAATGAAAATTAAAAAATAAATACCACTACACACCTATTAGAATGGCCAATGAAAAATGTCTCCTTTTCATTCAGATCTAGATAATTTGCAAATAAGCTTTATCAATGAAACAGAGTACTCACCGATACTTAGATGTGATATTGGAGCCTCCTCTTTTTTTTCCCCAGGGCATATCTCCTGTGATTTGTTTTCTGAGGAACACACACTAAAAATTACTGAACTATAACCTGAGGTGGCCCTAGAAAAATTTATCCATTTGTATTTATTAAAATTCTTTTAATATGTATAAAATAACAACCATACAATGCCTTGACTCCTTACAAGGTAAGGGTTTAGTTGCACACTGCCTAGTGTTACAGAATTGGGCAAGTGGAATTCTGATCTCAATTTCTAATGACTCCTTTAGTTGTGTTTCCTTTTTTATGCCTCTTCTGGAAATTTTAGCCTAAAATATCCGTATCATTGGTGACTAATTCAGTCAAGAAATATTTATTGAAAAAAATCTTAAGAGCTCAGTTTTGTGATAGGCTTTTGTTCTTTTGATTTCCTTGCGATTTCTCCTCCATACAAACAGAATCAATCACTTCCTCATCTGTTCCCAGGGCAGTTTATATGTACATTCTATTATTATACTGGTAGTTATTTTGCTCACATATCTGCTGTTATTTATTAATTCAGCAAATAATTTTGACAGGTACTGTGCAAACAGTTGGGGATCCAATGAGTAAAGCAGACCACATCCCTGACTTCACCAAACTTAGAGTCTGTGTGGGAATCGATCGTGAACATCGTCTAATTGGAAGAGACATGACTTGCCTCACAGTCTCCACCTAGTTTTCTTGGTGGAATGTCCATTCTCCCTTGTTCCTCCAGATTTTTCCCAAGAATAATGCTGAATGTTGTTCAGCCAAAAGGAGTCCTGTTCTGCTTTTAAAGGGAAGTCCATTCATTCTTGAGCTCTCACTGTTCAGTCATTGCTAACAGATGTTTTTGTTTTGTTTTTTCAGTTTGTCTAGATTGGCTCTCAGCAGGACAGTGTCCCTATGTGTACTCTTGTTCCTGGAAAGAGAGGTTTTTAATTCTGGGTTCCACAATTACAGCTCTTTGAGTTCACATTTACATGCTTAGGATTTGGTTCCCACAGTTCAATAAAGTGCCAGGACAGCTGGCCAGGAGGTGTATTCAACCTCAACTGCACATTTCACTGGAATTGACCATCCCCACAAACTGTGGCCATTGTGTTGAGCACAACTTATGATCTCTGCTTCCTCTTTCCTCCCGTTTACCTCCGCTTTGAGGCAAATGACTACTTGTCCTGATAGTGGAAAGAGTAAAGCCTATCCCAGTTCTCCAGAATAGATGTTATTCATTTTGAAACAGTTGAGGGATTTGCATATCTTCCCTCCAAAAAGGGCATAGAAGCCTTATGAAATTTGATCCAAAACTCTCTAAGGAGCTCTGCCTACTCAAGCAGGGAAAGTGCTGCAAATTAAAAAAAAAAATCTTGTTACACTCTTTCCACTTGACTAATACTTGCATAACTAAGAGGATACTTAAGTGTCTTTGCAGCATGAAGCTATTCTCATTGAAAGGTGACTTTCAATCTGTACTTATGATATAAGATCTAAAATTCATTCTTATGAAGATACCCTTTATAATTTCTAACTGTGATAAGTGACCTAAAAACAAGTAAATGTTGCTAGAATGGCTTATATCAAGGGCAACAATCTAGTCTGGAAGGTGAAAGAAGACTAGAAGAAACAGAAGAAGTGAAATTAAAGAAGTAAACTTTGAATTGAAATTTAAAAAATGACTAGTAGTTGATGTAGGTCTAATAAAAGATGTGGTTTTACAATGCTGGCTGCACATTAGAATCACCGGGGGACCTTTTACACCAGCGATGCCAAACTCTACCATAGTGTAGACTGAACAAATATCAGGATGGTAGTGGGAGGAGGGACTCTGGTATTTTTCAATACCGGAAATAAAGGGTACTAGATGAGGTTGGAAAGAATGGCTAGGGTTAGATAATTCCATTTTGTGGTTTAAGACTTTGGATGATTTTCTTAAGAAAAATGGGAAGCCTTTGAATAATTTTAAGCAGGGAAGTATCATGCCCATATTTGTTTTCAAAAAAGATACTGTGGATTGCTGAAAAGAGTATGGATTTGAAGAGCAAGACTGGAGGCACAGAGATCACAGGTGGCATTAGAGATGGAGAGAAATGAACAAATTTGATAAATAATTTAAAATATAGTTGAAATATAGATATTTGGTGGTGGTTTGGATATGGTAGGAAAAGGAAAGAACATCTCAAGGACAATTTGGGCTTGTGGCTTGAGCAATTTCTTTGTTCATTCAAGAGCATTAACAAAGCACCTATTGTATGCTATATTCTGGAGATGAATAGGAATGAAGATAAAAATGGGCCATGTTCTCATGGGAGGAGAGAAACCATAAACAGACAAGAAAAATGGCATAGTGAGGAAGGTTACTCAAAAATTACAACAGAATAGTGTTATACAGAGAGTGTGACTAGGTATCTATGTTAGCATGTGGGATCTGAAAGAAAGTGATTGGATAGAAAAGGAGTTCATGATGGGAAGACAAGAGGGCAGAATGTTATCTGCAGAAGAAATCACCAGTATAAAAACACTGTTGACCAGAAGAGAGCTCATTTGGGGAGAAAGTGGGATAGGATTATGGGAAGGAAGGTCAGAAACTAGTGATTGAGGTACATTTGAGAAATACAAATAGAAATGTTCGAAATTTGTGTGTAGACCCAAATGAGGAGTCTGAACTGAAGGTAAATGCTTTCATTTTTAGGGTATAGATGGTGATGTAAGCCATGTATTAGGATGAAATCCCTAGAGAGAATGAGAAAACAGTGAGCCTGGGAGTGACCTATAAAAGGTAGGCAAGGAGAATAGACATTTGAAGGAGTTGGAGGTAGGTGTAAGGGGAAGAATGAGGAGTCACAGGGAAGAGTGGTTACGGGGTAAAACACTGCTGAGAATCAGATAAGAGAAAGAGGTCCGTTTAGTTGGAGGATGTGGAGCTCTTTGGTGAAAGCAAGGAGAATCATTTCTCTGAGGAGATGGACTTGCAAGCTAGATGGGCATGAGCTGAAGAGTGACTAGACAATAGAAAATTAGAGGCAGCAGCAAAAGTGATCAACTTGCTTATCTGTGAATGGGAGGATGGCAAACAACAGCCAGAGAAAGAAAGAGGTCTCATGAAGTTTCACTTACTTCCTTCTTACCTACATGCCACTCAAGTCATGCCGTGGTGGTGTCCCACATAGAAGAACCAGGAGTTACAACTGGGATATACAACTATGTACTGGGGCTCTGGGGAGAAAAAAGAAAAGGACGATTGGCAACAGCTGTTAGCTCAGGGCCAATCTTCCTCACAAAAAAATAAAATAAAATAAAAGCCCTTTGGGGGGCTGGCCCCGTGGCCGAGTGGTTAAGTTCGCGCGCTCCGCTTCAGGCGGTCCAGTGTTTCATTGGTTTGAATCCTGGGTGTGGACATGGCACTGCTCATCAAACCACGCTGAGGCAGCGTCCCACATGCCACAACTAGAAGGACCCACAACGAAGAATATACAACTATGTACCGGGGGGCTTTGAGGAGAAAAAGGAAAAAATAAAATCTTTAAAAAAGAAAAATAAAAGGCCTTTGGGGAAGATCCAATACACTGAATATCAAGTGTAATATCAAAGAAATTCAAGATTCCTGGATTGTATTTTTTTGTAGAAAAGTTAATTTTCTAAAATTACTTATTTTGTCAAAGATATTTTTACAAAAGGGTTATCTTTACTTATGTTCCTAATTCTTAGAGTAAGGACATTGATGTTTTTAATGGTCGAGTTAATTAGGATTAGATTAATTATGCCAACATTAGTGCCTAAAATCAGCCTGCTATGACAAATGCAGTTTAGGTGAACAAAAACGTGTTTCCATAATAAGCATTCTAACATTATATCATTAAAAAATATTGCCTTAAGTTTTCAATTCAAGATTTCTTGACATTTTTTGTATTGGTTTCCTGTTGCTGCTTAAAAATTACCACACACTGAGCCAGCCCTAATGGCCTAGTGGTTAAAGTTTGGTGCTCTCACCACTTTGGTAGCCTGGCTTCAGTTCCCAGTTGTGGAACCACACCACCTGTCTGTCAGTCAGCATGCTGTGGTGGCAGCTCACATAGAAGAACTAGAAGGACTTAGGATATAAAACCATGCACTGGGGCTTTGGGAAGAAAAGAGAAGACAGAGAGGAAGATTGGCAACAGACG